CCAAGACCCATGGCAAGTTTTTCCGATCCCTAATTAGTCTCACTGTTAAAATTTCACACCCTTTGTGTACCCTCATAATGAAATACATCATAATCATTAATATTAATAATACTTAATAAAAATTATATACATGCCATTTGAAAATTGATTTTATACACCCTATTAAAAACTTGATGGCTCAGGAAATTGGTAATGGGATAGTGTCTTTCTTCTCAAGGTCACCAATTCAAACTCAGTTGAGGCAGATAGCGACTGAAAGTTGCTTGGTGGCAGATGTTAGAGATCCTAGTCCAGTTTCTACAGGATGGGTGCTTTCCTCAGCCCAGATTTCATCACCACAATTGGTGCTAACTGTTGTTTTTGTTGAATTTTCAGCATAGAGGCTAAAAACTGAATGGGATAGTGGACCATCCTCAATAGTCCCTTCAGGCTCAGCTTGCTGGGGCAGGTTGGAGAGAGCTTGGACTGATGTGGTCTATTCCATATCTGTTTGGTAGCTCAGAGAGCACGTCACTTCACAACATTATTTTATATGACACGCAACAGCTGCAAAAGAATGTGCCGAATTTTAACTATATATCGGGTAAGCAGACAGATACCACCTTTCATAAACCTGAAACAACTATTTGCTTTCATTCTATCATGTTTGCCAGTAAATAAACCAGGCCACATATTATGTTACATTAGCAGTCAAATAAGCCCTTGTCCTAGAATAAAGCCTCTAGAATGCTGATTGGTATAATGCCCCTGGTCCTAGTACAACATCTTTGAAATATCATGTTCAAATGCACACAAATTTGCCATTGGCTATAGTTCTTGCCTGATTCATATCATCAGTAGGTCAATCTTTTATGCTTTCCCTTAGCTAGCTCTGTAATGCCAAATGAGACCTTTTGTTTTAAAAAAGCAGCCCACTGGGCTAATTTTTTTAATTTGTCCAAAAATACATCCTTGAAATTTCTTTTGTTCTTATATTTTGCACACACAAAACCCAATATTGTACGTGCATGATAGGTAGCTGTGCATACATCTATTGTGACAGCACAAATGCTTGTTTGCAAGTGCATATCTGAAAGGTCAACAGGTGTAGGTGATAATGAGTATGAATCATGCGACTTCCAATGTTAGACACTTCCTCCAAAGACACTTCCTCAGTATTCTCTATATGAATCCCAAAGCATCTAGCATAATTAACCTAAACCAATGATGGTTTCTAACTCAAACATCTCCATTCACACAAATCCTGGTAAGAGGTAAAAGTTTCAGAAGTATGTAAGTGACTTAGGAACCTAAGGGTAAAATTTTCAGAAGTAGCTAAAGCCCTGAGACACTGGCTCTCTAAAGGTTAATGAAAATGCAGCTTGAGCACTTTTTATTTTTTTTACACATCACCCAATTGCTAAAGGTGAAATTTGCCTTATGCAAATGATCTGCATAGGGCTTATGCACATTGCAGGTGACTCTGTTAAATTAGGGCACAGACCTGGACAGGTGTGGTTCATACCTGCCTTACTCAAGAGATAATTTGGGAGGTTTCCCTGGAGTAGGGCTACTCAACTTCGAGAGCCCCAGGGGCCACAATGGTATTCACAGCACATGACCAGGGCCACAGCTTAAGTGTGGTTGCATATATATGTAAATATATGCAAATAGCTTATTTCACACCAACAGGTATGAATATAAAGCACTTCCCACAATGCCCCAGAGCTCCTGGCATCTCTTCCCTAGGGCTAGAAAGGCCGACACCCTGTACCCGTCTGTTCCAGCCAGCCCATCCTCTTGCACCTATCAATGCTCACCATGCCTGGGAAACACCTCGCTGTTGTGGAGCATGTTCCCAGTGCAGGCCATGTTCAAAGGATCCCACTCATGGGCTGTATGTTGAACCCCGTGTAAAGCCAAACTGCTATGCAAGCCACATGTGGCCCACATGTGTTGAGTAGCCCTGCCATCTTTTAGGACTATAAAATAGATGACCATAAGCATGCAGCTGGTAGGATATGGCCACTGTCTTCTACAGGTATGAATTTTACCCAAAGGAGATAAAGGCTTCCATCTTCAACATCCTTGTGCTCAAAACCAAGTTTGCGGAGAGATCAGTGTATGATGGGGCAAATAAAATGTTTCAAATACCTTCCAATTCACATGGGGCATCCCCACTGTGTTGCTGTACTGTGGATAAACAATGGCATTGGGCAGAAAATCTAATTTTTCCCCAGCAGGTACTCGGGCATTCAACTAACAGATAGCTCAGTACAGTATTTGGGATTATAATGTAGACTGGGCTGTTTATTCAGAGAGACTCTTCTTGAGTTACAAATACCAAACAGCCCTAGTCATTTCACTATTGATTTAAGGCATCATCAAATCCTAATCTGGACTGAAGATGACTTTTGAGTATGGAAGAATCCTGAATGCCTCATTTAAAGGTCTTTAGCACATGAGATATACCTCACTAAACTCAATTTGCAAAGATGACTGCGTGAAGAACTGACGGAAGGATTTTTCCCTTAATGCCTTCATTCATTTGATGTTACTGATATTATAACCTTGATAATGGCAACTGAAGCCCAATTTGACATAGATCAGTTAGGGTTAGGAATTAATATATAATGATTAATATATAATGATTTTTCCCATTAAGTATGTAGAAAAGGACATATCAGTATTTCATATTCATAAATTCAGTTGCATGACACATGCCCTGATTTAAAAACACAAATGAATACTAACTTTTAAACCAGCTATTACAAATGCTTATTAACAATCACCTTTTGAAAGAGATTAGCATCCTGCCTTCTACATAAAAGAAAAATTATTATTATTATACTTTGTTATAATTAATCAAAAACCCAGTTATAATTCTACTAAACTACTATGAACAGGAAAAAAACCCTAAGGAATCAGTCCAAACATATGTATCCCTATGTGGCATGCTTTCTGAGCATATATTAGCATGGGTTCACCCTGTGGTCATGCAGTGCAGGGGGTCACTTGTCAGCTTGTGCATTGAAAACAGTATAAATTCAAGTTGGGATATGTGCATGTAAGAGAGAAAGGCACAATGAAAGATGAGAGGGGAAAAGTGAAGCATTCCTGAACACATTAAGTTTCTGTCATGCTAAACCAAGTTCATTGTTAGACCCAGGTGTATAATTGAACACATGGACAATAAAGTTAGTTATTGAAAATGTTATGTAATGTTATGGCTTTTGCAATTTAATCAACATTATGCTCAGAATTCCTTTCCAGTGTTCCTAATGTCACCTGTTCCAACTTTGTAAATATTTTCTCTTGCTTAGATGAAGCATTCTAGACTTGGTTTCAATTTCATGGTGGACATTAGGTCAAGGTTTAGAAAAATCAGTTAATATATTTTGGGTTCCATTACTCTTTATATATTTTCCAATCATGAAAACTGAAAAAAAAATCTCTTTATTCTCATGCATAACTAAAGGATGACCAGCGTTTACACACTGTCTTTTCCAAGTGGTTAATCCTGAATGGGAACTAATTTGCAGGCTAATTTGCAAACAAAGGAAATGAACTCCACAGCTCATACCCTTTTTTTAAATAGTCTGAATCCAGACAGAGTATTGGAACATACCTAACCTTTGTGAAAGATTCAGATAGCATTCGAAATGATTTTTGCAGCTTGCTCCTATATCTACTGGAATTATTTTGGACTCATGAATGACTCTCTTTTACTTTGCATATTACTTGACATTTGACTGGAAAGAACAACAAAGATTTATCAATGCTGTGAATCAAATGATGAACACTTCTTTTTAAAAATGCCCAAGTTCATGTTACCAGCATATGTGGTATTTTGCAACTTACTGTGCTAGGGAAAGTAAGCTTCAAAGCAGATAAATAAGAATAAAGTTCTCAGCCCTCATTCTCTGTGTTATTGTTTGCATTGGTGAAAGCTAGGCAGCTCAAAGAAAATCCCATAAATGGCATTTCAAAAGAAAGTTAAGGGGTAAATCATCAGCATGACATGTGAGGATTTTGTCACACGGCTCCAAATAAGGTGAATAGGAGTTGCACAGTTAAATCTTCATATACTAAAAAAAAAAACCAAGCCTAATTTCTTTGTGTGTGTGAGAGATTTAATTAGTCACAATATAAACCTCAAAACAAAACTATAAAATTTAAATTCAAAGCTAAGAAAGAAAAATACCTTTTGGCAGCATGAATGTTTTCCTTGGTAGTATATCTAGCTGTATTAAGGGTGCTTAAATCCCATAATAATAGGGTACCCTAGAGAAGCCAAGGACATATAAATAATTCTGTGGTTTCAGGACCTTCTCTCATTAAACTATAGTTGTTGGCAATGCCATCACTAAGGACATGCTTTTGACTCCCCTTTCAGTTTGCCCTAGGAGTCCTTTGTAATATCCTAGAGCTACTACTTCAGCTCCAGTCTTCTCAGATGTTTGGAATAATGTGTACGTCACTCATTTGTCTACATGGCAACCATTAGCAGAGTTAAAAGGAGAACTGTAGACTTTCACTGAAGTAACGAAAATAGAAGAATTACACCAAATCATTATAGGCTCAGACAATCAGACTGAAAAATTTAGATTTCAGGGAAAACCCCTATCCCTTGACAAATTGGAAGCCATAATAGGATGCATGTCCTCTGACTTGGTTACATAGTCTTACAAAAGTTGCTAATACTTGTTTGATTAACAAAAAATTGAACTAGATTTTGGCAGCATAAAACTTTCTATTTTGAAATGATAAATCTTTCAAACTCAATGTCAATACCTTCCAACATTTTAAAAATTAAATGCTATTTATGCAAGAGTTTTATACAGAGAGAGAGTGCACATAAGCACACACTACTACGTACAAGCATAGAATATGTCAAAGGCAAATTGTTTCAGTGAACTTTGATCTATTTAATATGCTCCAGAAATAAATATTAGCTATTTATATCTATATCTATATCTATATGAGACACACAAATCTTTAATTAAAATAAGTTGTCTAACCAGTGAATTCAGCTCTGTAGACTCCTGCTGCAATCTGCAGTTTTAAATCTGGATAATTCTCCACATTTTACTGCATCTGGAAATGAACACAAAGTTGTAATATGAATAATAAAAATTACTTAAATGACCAGTCCCAGAAATATAGCAAGTAGACAGTTTATATAGTGACAGAACTTCATTGTTCTTACTGTTTCATCACCAAGTTGGTCTCAGACCTCATTCTTTTTTCTCTTCCATTTAACTATATAGGAAGGCTGATTTTCCACATGACAAGAAAGAGCTATAAAATGGCCCAGTACACAGGGAACTGGAAAGGGATTTGGAAGACCTGAATTCCAAATCTCAGCTGTAACACTGACCTGCTCTGTGATCTTTGAAAAAATTCCTTTTTTGTGCATCAGTTTTCCTTATTCACTTGTAACCTGCTTTGTCTATTTAGATTGCAAGCTCTCTGGAGCAAAGTTGGCACAACGGAACCTCAGCTTTCATGATGAGCTAGAGATGTTTTTGCATTTTAAACAACTAATCATACTAAAATACATTACGAAGCATTGGATCAAAATATTACTTTTGGTTTTAATTCCACACTATCACAACAGGTAGCCTGAAGAGTATTATAGAAAAGTAAGAACGAGATAGAAAACACCTCTCATCACATAGTCCACTGTAGTCTCACTGCATTCTGTCAGTAGCCAGAGGAGGTGACTGAACCCAGAGATAAACGCTTTGGCAAAAAATAGTTTCTACTCTTTGATGTACTCTAGTCATCACATTCAGATTTGATACTGCTAGAAAAGTATATTTTTAGGGATGATTAGTTTCAATCAATCTACTGTAGATTTTCCTTTTATCCCCATGCTTCTATCTTTCCATCTATGTAACTTTTGAGGCTATCTACAGTTCAAAAGGGTAAAAAAGAATGGTTTGGTCAACCTGTGATCTTCTGACTATGACAAGGTATAAAAAAGTACATTGCTCCTGTCTCTCTTGCTTTAGTGCAGTAATTGGGAGCAGGCTTAAAAAGTGTTCCATTATAAATAACAAATAAAAGGGGCTGTGGAAGAAGTATATGATCAAGAAAAAAGATAGGTATTATTTCTTTACTACAGTGTACTTTCTTCCATCTTTTTTTCTCCATTTGAATCACACCTTTAATGATCAACTTGTACGTATGTCACACAAACACACTAAATACATATGTGATATTTCTTTGCTATTGTGTCAATCTCTTAGCATTTATACTTCTGGATTCTTTGTGACGGGATATTTCACACATTCGGTCACATTAACCAGTGGAGCCACTACTTTGTATGGGCTTCTCTAGGGCTGCCACGATCAATCTTCCGAAGTTTGATTTAGCAAGTCTAGTTAAGACTTGCTAAATTGAAGTCAGAGCACACTCCTTCCAGCTGCCAGTATTCCTGCTTCTGCAAGGAGTAAGGGAAGCCCATTGGACTTCAGCTACGTAATTAGTTACGTATCTTGATTCAATATTCCCTATGAGCGTAGACCAGGCCTACTGCATTCTGGATCATGGATCAGGAAGAGTAAGATGGCTTACAACCATCTCTCCCAGGTCCTATATTTTAATCAAGGAGAATAACCACTATATATATTTCAGGCTTTATTTCTATGTGCCATTAAGGAGTAAATGAAGGACATCCTCCCTCTTTTCCCCCCTCCTGGGCTCAAACCTTCACAAGTGATATATTATCAAGAATCTTTGCATAAGTGACAAGATATTCAATAAAATATCTTTAGGGAAAAAAGTGATAAAGGGAAATTCAACTAACCTTTTTTCTTCCTTGGCACTACTTGATAATCTCTTTATCTGATCTTATTCCAATAGAGTTACAGGCAGATTTATTTCCCCACAGACAAAATGTCACCTCTCAACCTCTGGCACACACACACACACACACACACACACATTAGTAATTTAAACTGATTACTACATTTTAAATGGTGGTTAGTTCCTTTAATATGTATGGCCAAATTCTAAGTACACACACATACACTTCAGTGAGACATGTCTATCTAGCTGGCCTCATTTGGGCTTTGGAGGTCCCCGACTAAGATCGCAATTTCAATATTTCCAGATGTATTGTGGATTTTAGCTCAAATCCCTGAAAGTCAGTCTGTTGCCTTGTTATTTAAGAGCTTGATCCAGCTCCCCTTCTAGGCAACAGAAGGCTTTTACAACAATAAATAATCATACACAGAACACATGCCTCAATCTGTGCCTGCAAACTGAAGACTGTAATTCTGACACAGAAGACTGACTTGTAGACAAGCCCTTAAATGAGACTTAGTACATGGCAAGCTCAGGTGTAAAATTTACAGGACACTAGCCTTCTGTGACTCAGTTGCTATAGGGACCCTGCTACCAAACACTAGAAAGTTCTATAGTTTGCTATGAGGCACTGCTGTTTGAAACAGGAGTATACCAAAGAATACTATGGAATATATAGTGCATGGTAGGAGGTTCATATGGCAATTTAGTGCACAGCAAGCTATTGTATCATAGATTTACACCCAGGATGCTGGTTTCAGCCTATTGCTGAAGTCTTTTTTTTTTTCTTACCTTACTTCTAATTATCAAAGAAGCAGAGGATTTGAATTAAGTAAAGTGTACCTAGACCTATCAGCCTTTAACTCAGAGACATCCATGACAGAGGTTTAGCAAGGCAGATGGCAAAAGGCCAGAAAATGGATTTAAGGAACTCCATAGGAATAATCCCCATAGCAAAAGGAAGGCCTTAACCATTTTTCCCCCTCTAATCAATTCAGTTAACAGGTAAAAGACATGAAGGAAAAGATGTTGTTAAAGAGCTAATAAAGGCTGCCAAGGGAGGTTCAGGAAAATGACTAACCTCTTTGTGACAAAAACTTATACTACACAGAGGATTCCATCAGAGGTACAGGTTATGTTGCCCATCATCTCCCTTTAGAACCTCACTCCTAGCACCCTGGTTTCCACTTTGAACCATCTGCTTCTGTTGGAGCCACGTTGCCCAATGACTCTACCATTATGCCTACAAGACCACCTGTTGTTGATGTGGGTGAAAGAGACACTGGGTAAATCGATGTTCACAAAGTCAGCATTAACCTTTCTGACACAGCCTATAGACAGTGAGGGAAATAGGACTACGGGAGAAGACAGCAGATGGACTTCTAGTCAGCCTACTCTTACACTACAGAGCCTGTGTGACAGAGCTTCCATGGAGTGGAGGGAAAGGAGCACAGTGATGCTACAGAGGTGGATATTCCCCTTTATCACCTGGGCTCTGCTACATTTTTGTTTCCTCTGATCCCTGATTAAAGAGATTGTAACCTATGATTCATGGGAAAAATGAAACTGTCAATAGCAAGCTTCCTTATGTGTCAGTGCAAGGAAGTAAAGGGGTGTAATGACCTTCCTTACTTGGACTATCTGCATTGCTAATCCGCTCACTGAGAGAAAAGCAAGCCCCAGTATTTACTAACCTAGTAAGTGGGTGGGACCTTGGCTCTGTGCCCTCTGCATATACTTTCTAGTTGCAGAATCATTACAAAGAAGATCATAAGCTGTAACAAGCATAGGGTTGGTCAAGCCATTCGGCCCTGTGCAAAGTGGGTGTAAAAATATAAGAATGGCACCACTGTGCAATCTCTTTGCATAGGCATAAGTGACTATTCAAGATGAAAGACAGTGGGGAATAAGAATATAGGAGTGTAAAGTTACTCTGGATAATAGTATAGTTATGCTTTATCACCTTCAATGATTCTCCTAAAGGGAAATAACCATCATTATTAATGTAAAATTAGGTTCAATATATGACAATATTTGAGAAAAATTTATTATGCTAAGTGGATTTTGCTTAACGTTCTGATTCTTTTTAATTTGTACAAGGTGCCTATATGCAGAGGCCAAAGACACATCACTCGGCACTTCTCTCCTGTTACAATATACTGAATTTATTTTCATAACCTAAGCAAATGTATGTGATTTTGCTTCTGATCCTGTGCCTCTAAAATACTCACACATGGAGCAATGAGATATTTAGAGACAAGGGATGTGAGATTAGAAACTGATTCTGTAATGGCATGCTTATAATTTGCCTTGTTACTTACAGTAGTGCCTAGGGGCAAAACTGAGATTGGATCCCCACTGTGCTAGCCTTTGTGAAGACATAAAATGATAGGCTCTAACATTTAAAAGGGAAATGACTGCCCGTCAGTGTAAACCAGCATTGCTCCATTGATTTCGATAGAGCTGCCCCACTTGACACCAGCTAAGAATTTGTCCCAAGGATTTTACAAAGGTGTCCATTTTAAGACATCCTCAGGTTTCAGCAGTCTCCAAGGAATCACATCTTCACATTCTCCACCTCTCGCCACCTCACCCTCTCTGTGCATCTAGTAGCACTTGATGGATAATGGGACTGTATAAGATTATTTCATTAGTAAGATGAATTGAGTCCCTGGAAATATTGAAAGGAACTTCTCTAGTTGAGCACTCTTGAGTCAAGAATGCTTTTATTTAACCAGATGTCCTCTTATCATGGGTGTGGCCAACTTTCCCACAGTCTCAAAGTTTGTTTACAGCCTCCTATCGTAGCTCTCAGTGTTCTGTGTTGTTGTTTAGCTCTAATTTAACCCTAAATGTCTTCTAAGAGCCCAGTAAGCAGTGGAATTAATCTCACACAAAAATATTAACCTCCCATGGTTCAGCAAATTACCTGGTTTGGCACTGGTCAGGTCCTGAGGGTGCTGGACTAAAGAGGTTCAACCTATAGTCTGCAAGAGTGCACCTGTGTGCAACAGACTGAATTATGCTTTCCTGTGTCTCTTTTGCCATCAAAATATAGAAATATAATTCTAACACACTTCAGTGCGGCATGATGCTTTCCATAGAAAGGCACCATTGTTATTCCTGTAGAAATGGGCTATGCAGCCAGCATAGACAGACTGCTGTTTTTGTTGCTAAGGAAAATGCATAAATATCTAAATAAAAGCTGCTTTAGTTTAAAAGTCAAGTGCCTATTTTACAGAGGACTAAAGGAGATGATTTGTGAGAAATTTGGTGTTATAGGA